TACGCTGTGTTCACAATAAATTGGTAGAAGATCGAGTTTGAGCGAAGTCTAACCACGTGGAGTTTGAGCTAAATGTACGGTAACCACATAGTGACATACATATATGGCTACATTCGATTAGTCACTTGCACGGCAATTGGACAGAGGGACATGTCACACGTTCCAACTTGTTAAGAAAATTACGTTATTCAATGACTGTCAAACGCTGAGTTGCAAACAGCCATATCGAGTTGAATGAATCCAAATAAATTGGATTAATTTAGACACAAAGTTGGGCAATTGGTGAATTGGTAGTCATTCTCAATGAATAATTACGTTTTGTATTTCATTTATAATGATATAGTTTTTAGTTATAGTTTGTTTTTTTTTTGTTTAAATAGCCAAACGTCAATGAGGCTTGAGTTAAATCAAGCTATTGGAATTTTTGGAAATCGCAAATCGTATGCACCATGCAGTCACTACGAATTGGTTGGAAATGACCGGATGATACGCATAATTCCCTAGGCTACGGGTTCCCTAATTAGTTAGGTGTCACCATTTATATGTTTATAAAAGAACCACAATAACTACAAGGAATGAAAATCACAACGACCTCGTTGGTCGAGTGGTCGCAAATGCGAATGCCGAGCAAGGGGTCTCTTTGATTCCAGGGTCGGGCAAATATGACTGGGTTTTTAAAAAAAAATTTCAGTAGTAGCACGGAGTCTGGAATCGTGCCCGGTATAAGGCAATAGGCTCACCCCCTATTACACGGGACTCATAATATAAACAGTGGAAAGTGGGTGTTACATTGTACAGTGGCATAATGTGCAACTCTGCCTACCACTTCGGGGATAAAATGCGTGACGTTATGTTATGTATCTCCAATGACTCTATTAGGGTGATAATAAAACAATTGTGTTATTAAGACTCTTGTCATTGTTATCAAAATGTCTCAGCAACGACTTATAACCACGTACAAAAACGTACTATTATTTGTTTTATATAATACTAGCAGCCCGTCCCGGCTTCGCACGAGGTAGACACTTATTTATTTTTGGAAATTTGGATTGTATTAGTGACATAACTACAATAGTTGGACATATGCTAGTTTTTTGTAGACATTATGATGTTCTTCAATATTGTTGTACATTATTTTGTTCTATCGCTAATAATTTCGGCAGCGCATTCGACGAAAGACATTTTAAGACTCATTTTTCTACACCTTCCGTTACATTGTTGAAATTTTACCAAGGATTCCTAATTTTTTTCAAAATGAAATGTAGCCTATTTCAAATTGGAAGAATGTAGCATTCTATTGTTGAAAGGATATTTTAAATCGGCCCGGTACTTTTTGAGCCTATTCATTAGAAACATACAAAAATAGGTACAAATCTTTCCTCTTTATAATATTAGTATAGATATATGTATATACATAGTCCAACTTGAGGCGAAGCAGTAAAACAAAATTAGTGCATCTCACCACGTGATAGCTCATGAATAAATTTTGAGCTTGTAACGAGTTCCTACGTCAGGTGTCGAAACTAATCATGAAACTGAAAACAATTTGTAAGTATAACTGAATAATCCTGTTATTATCGTGAGGGATGCACGGTATATTTATTGCAAATCTATTTTTTGGTCCCATTGAAGATAATAGAAGGTAATAGAATGTAAGTGTGGCAGTATCATGCTTCAGCACGAACGGGCCGGCTCGACCGGAGTGATACCACGGGCTCACAGAAACCTGACGTGAAGCAACGCTTGTGTTGTGATTCGTCATATAAGTCAGGTTATAACCTCCGGTAATTACCGGAGGCTTAATTACCCCCCACCCTCTTCCCCAATCTCTCCAATCCATGAATACCCAACTATCCTCATAAGGCCGATAACGCTCTTGTAACGCTTCTGGCGTTCCAGGTGTCCATGGGCAACGCCGACTGCTTACCATCAGGTGGCCTATCTGCTCGTTTACCGGCTTATCCCATAAAATATAAAAAATAATAAGGACATATTCTAGTTAAATATAATATTAAGCTATACTAAATACTTTATCTTATTCTTGTATTATTATCCCGTCATCTGTCATACAATTAACCCTAAATATTATAGGTCACCTTCACCCGTCACTCATTCTTAAAACTTCTCTGGCGGTCTGTCAACTTTGACAAATTATCCAGAGACAACTTTCCTGGATTTGTAACATGGGCTGTGGGACTGTGCGTCATACATAATAATCCCACTAATAATAATATTATAAATGTGAAAGTTTCTTTGTTTGGATGTTTGTCCGGCAATCAAGGTAAAACTACTGAACGGATTTTGTTGAAATTTGGTATACAGGCAGGGTATGGGCAGAATAGGATAAAACAGGAATTATATTTAACGCGGACGAAGTCGCGAAGTGTTATAACGTTTAAACTGACATCCTAGCTATTATTATTATTATTGTTAAAAGGCTACAAGTGGACAGTCATAAATTTACCTCAGTCTGTCCTTCCGGGTAACATTCGATTACCAGAAGGAATTTGTTGAATGTAATCACTAACTTTTGTTCCTGACCCAGAATTCAGTTGTAAACTAAGTATGTGATTTGTTTGTATAAAACGTACCGGCGACACAGATTAAAATATCTGTAGGGGGCCATATTATTATAAAAAAGAAGGTTGTCAAACATTAGACTCGATGCTAATCAGTTACTCTGACTGCTCAGTCAGAGTAACAGCGTGAAATATACTGAGCAGTAGCAGCCAGACATTAGCCGCGTCGCGGGTAGCGAAATGCTGCTCATGATTACGAGCCTCTAGCATGACTTGAAACTAGTCGAGTTCCTTGTCAAACAGTTTCACGTAAGTCGAAAACATAATAATTAATTTAGTTCATCATGAACGTTTAAATACAAATACAGTATATTTCTAAGTATCAAAACCAAGACCATCCTTACTTGATCTTATTACTACTTATTTGATCTTCATCCAATTAAAGATACGATAAGTTCAACAGATCAGCGTATTGAACTACGTAAATAAACGAGCAATATTAATACAGAAGTTACGATAAATGCAAGTCCTAACAAGCGACGAGTTGACGGTAATAATTTATTTGCTAACTGAGTCAACGACCCTCTGTCACATCGCACTCTTCACTGGACATGGATTTGAGTGAACAACTAAATGGATAAAGTTATTCTATTAAAATGGAATAATATTTGTGTCTGATAAATAGTATGGAGGTTGATTATCAAGATTCACTTATCACAATTTTGGAACAATAACGATCTTAATATATATTCGAGTGAAATGTTAAAACTTTTTCCAGCAACTAAAGGCATAACGTTATACATGACAAGAAGTTATTACTAGAAAGTGATTTTGTCACAATAATGTGATACAATCCTATTACGTAAGATGATAATTCCATTGACATGTAAAAATGTTGAATATTATTTACGTTATTTAAATTCTTATATGATATTCCCATATGTGTGTGTTTTAAACCACTCGTGGGGTATGAAATGTAAAGTTATTTGAACATCCAAAAATGTTTTTAGCAATTTAGTTTGTTTACTTTCAGAAGACCCGTGGCTCAAGCTTTATTTTAAGCGGCGGTTTGGAGTACACACTTTTAAAGTTCAGGGTTAAATATGTAATCCCATAGCCATAGCTCTATCGATACCTACCGATCTATCGATTCTACCGATAGAAAGATTGCGACACTTTGCCTTTATTACAAAGTCATTTTAATTGAATAATTACAACTTTAATTAGCCCGCTATAGATACAGGTTGTTTAAAATTCCATGCGATACACAAAGTTGCGACGCCCAAATAAGCTGCGAACTTTCCACCACATCTGAGATTCGTCACAGTCATGGTTCAAACGCAATTGAATCCCTTTCAATTCACTCAAAGACGTGACTAACACGAAATAGGCTTTGACGTACACAAACTGAAACCACCTTTACATCCCATGAAACCATACTGAATGTACTAATTAACAACACTTTATGAAGTGGTTTTAATTACAGTAAACTCAATTTATTTCAGGGGTATGAATTTAATTTTTGGTTGTAGATAAGTTTAATTTACGTGGGGTTTCAGTAAGTTTCAGTTAGCCACAGTATGATGCGTTGGTTATAGGGTATTAATGTCCGCTACAAATTTTTATTTGAATAATTTATTGGTTATGATGATTTATAGTAGGTACATCAAAGACACGTGGGTCGTAAATACATACATATTGTAATAATTATTAGTAAGTACGTCCCCATATGTCACCAATTTATCATTTCAAATTGTTTACAAAAATGGTACAAGACGTTGTATTGTGTACCTACATTTAAAGTGAATAAATGGTTCTATTGTATTCTATATTGTAATTTCAACATTAATTTTTTAAGTTAGTAAAGTAAATGGGCTATTATAAATAGACTTACACCGATAAAATTTTAATACGTTTAATCAGAATCTTATGTAAAGAACAACCATAACACACGAACTATGGCTGCTGGTAGATACAATGTACCCAGAGTCACCAACTATTTTGGTGATAGAACACTAAAAAAGAGAATACCGTATCTATTAAACAGTCTGCCGGCAGACATAAGGAGTGAAACAAATTCAAATAGGTTCAAACGAAAATTAAAGTCATATTATTTAGAAATGTTCTTATAATAAGTAAGTATAAGTTTCAACGCCGGTATAACATTTAAATATAAGTACATTTGATTATAATGTCTAGCGACTCGACCCCGCAGTCAAACCATTGCAACGGTTTTGTGGGGCTTAGATTATAAAATACTTACCTGTGTGAGATAAAGATAAATAAATAATAATAAAAAAAAAGAAATTGAAATAACTTGAAACAAAAGACTTGAAGAATAACACCTCAAAGACTTTTTGCCTTTACCATCGAACACGCAATTTAACAAATAATTAACTTGCTAGCTCACATCTTTAAGCTTATGACCAAACCTTTGAAAGTATTTGGCAATTTTTTAACTCATTTCATTTTTGTCAACAGGCTTTGCTGAAGATATCTTCAGCTTACCTCAACAAGAAGATACCCAACATCCCTGACATCAAGGTTGATGGAGCCGAGGAGAAATGGTTAGTACCTTTACTATTTACTGTCGAACCGTCAAACGACTGATCTATAGCTAAAAATATGCTGTTTTATCACAGTATAATTCATTATAAGTCTTTTGAGGATTCGACTGTTAAAATAAATGATAGCCCGTCAGTAATAGACACTGCGTCCATCTTCGTGCATTGCAAAATCACCCTAATTACAATATTACAAATCACAATGTTAATTAGATTCGTATGTGAGTGTGAATACAAAAAACAGTTAGTTCAAATCCGATTACTTTTAATAAATTGCTAGCGTTTTCTTAAGTACTATAGTGAACATGACATTAACTCAAAAGTTTAGAAATATAGGACAGCACCTCTGAACAAATGTTCAAGCTACCATAATAAGAATCGCTATTTTTAACCAAAAAAATGACATTAAACAAAGTATTCATTGGAACTTATTCAAGATATTCATAAATACTCACTGAGTACTTTTATTTTAGGCTTTAAAATTGTGCTGCGCAGTAATGCAAAAGCAGATAGCTAAGCAAAGCAATTACAATTCTAAAGCGAATGTTTTTAAATTCAAAATTGAAATCTCGACACGCTCAGTAAACAAAGGACTTATTGCCTTGAACTCCTAGAGACTACAGACCTTCTTTTCTCCAGTAATATTATTGATCCCTTTCCGATATAAAACAGGTTAAATATAACTTTCCAATTGACTGTTTTGGTTTAAAAAAAATTATAACAAGTCGTCAGATGTGGGGATCGTAGCAGATCTCAAAGATCGACCGAGAGCCCAATAAACACTTCAGCTTTTGTTCGCCTAATTAAGCAGAGAACTTGAGTAATACCCAATTATTGCCTCAAATTAGGCCTCCAGTAAATATATTCTCAAAACTATGAAGCTAGCGACCATTAGTTAATGCTATGCGTATGCTCAGACTAATGTGAATACAATTTAATATAATACTTTTCAATTAACAAGGTTGGAAAGTAAAAATTAAAAATTTGTTTTTAAAATATGGCTTTGCGACAGCTTTATATTGACTGCAACATGCCACTATATTGGTACGCTATTTATCAAGTAGACGTATCCATAATTCACAAATTGCTATTCTTGTAAACTCATTTGCTTTATTTTAGTTTGCTCAATAACATAAGTTACTGATTATTATCAACATTGAAAACGCCGATAAGTAGACTCACAATAATATAAAACTTGTTCTAGACAAAAGTTAGTTGAAACTTTCGCTCGCCTTTCTTGATACTTTACAGTAGTGCCATCTAGTTAATAAAGTCGATATCAATTGCATATCGAGTGCAACGTAAAGGCGCTTCTATACTGACTTTAAATTACGAGCGACTTTTTGCAAACCTAGTCCAACCTGTAAGGTATATAATTATATTGCAATTGCATATATGGCCTGAATTGATTTTGTAGTAATTTAACAAAAAATAAAAAATAATGCAAGGGAAGACGAAATTCACAATCATGTATTTGTTCTTTCAAGCATTATTTTTACTGCCAAAATCCTAAAGCTCTTACAAATTAACAAATACTATCAAAATACTATTTTTACTTTATCTACAAATAAACGCACTTTAAAAAGTCGTTGTATTTTCTGTACCAGTATAAACGTACCCCTTAGGTTTATGAATTAATATTTAATGATGTCCATGGACTTATTAGTTCAGCCAGGATCTATTAGATGGCGCTATAAAAAGTTTCTATTATAGTTCGTAGCATTGTTGTAGCAATGCAGCGTAGCAGTGCTACGAAAAACCGTAGCCGTCTTACTTCAGTCCGAAAGAGCCAATCTAATGTACTTGTTGTGTTACTTTATAAATGACAATATCAAATTATATTGAGATTATTATCTATTATGATGCCTAACTCAGATTTCGTTCATAAATTGGTATAACTCGTTTATCCAATAACTATCTCCAAAACTAAATTAAATATGAACCAACATATTTCCTTGTACCCCTCGATTGTACGGATAGTACAATTTAACAATCGTTAGAGGTCTCGTGCATTTATTACATCGGATTCGCAAACGGGACTCGGCCATTGGCCGACCATGACCAGTGACCAAATGCGACACATTCAGGGCTATCAAACGTCATTCCATACTTTCTTTGGTCTTAAAATAGCAATTCCATAAAATTGACATTATTGGATAAATTCAAAAAAGGACATTGAAAAATTTAACCGGTACCTCGTCCGTGGTCTCCAAAAAATATAGTCAACTAGTTTTAAAATCTAGTTAATTTCTTTCTATTCTTGTGTTATGTCTTGATTTATGGTCTTTCACAAAATGAGGGCTAGACCAATATTGAAATAGCTAGCCGAGTATCACTTGACTTAACACTTTGAGCACCGTCATTATAGACACCATTAATAAACAATAGGTTGCGGTCACCGGTGTCCTCGCAGTGTTTGACAGTAATACTTTGTTCTCTATTTTCTTTGAACAATTTTAACCTACAGGCTATGTCCCTTCTTCAGTTTGTACCACATTCACCTGTGTTAAGATTGTGTAAATGCATGGTTAGCACGGTGGCTGAGCAATCTGCTGCACGTGCTAAACGTTCGGGAAGCAACTCTTTGTGTGATTCAAAAATGTTGTTTCGGGTTTGAGTGTCATGTGTATATGAACTTGTATGTTTTTAAACGCACCCACGACACAAAAGAAAGTCCTAGTGTGAGGCAACGTTTATAAAAAACGAAACAAGAGAAAGAAGATTAGAATTTCGAATACTTTTTAATTTCAGTATACCTACTAAAGCACCAAATAACAGTTTAACTACAAAGTGGGAGTATTAGATACAAATCACATCTACGCTGTCCACTGTATAATGTTCAGATACATCAAATCAGTAGCAAACGGACTTTTAGCCAAATACCAAACAACACTGTGAGCCGACGTTTCAAAGGGGCATCGCTTCGATTAACGGAGTGCATTCCTGACTGCTTTGACATGACATGGCCTTCCATTTCGCACCGTTTACACTGAATTGGTTAATCTTAAATTCTACTACAGTAAAATTGTACGATATAATTTTCTTCATTTTAAACTCGCACTATTCTTAACATATTCTCTATGTTTTTAAAACTCCAACCACACAAAATCCTCTACACTTGATTACAACCACGTTTAACATTCTTTGATAATTTTAAATTGATATTTGGAAAACCTATTATAAAATTGTGAATTTAATTGTAGTGAATAAGTGGCCACTGCTGACTAAAGGCATCTTCTCACACGGAGAAGGTTTCGTTCATTAATCACCACGCTTGCTCTATGTGGGTTGGCAATTTCAAACTTATAATTAGAAATTATATGCCCAGGTTTCTGACGATATTTTCCTTCAACGTTTATCAGTGGTGTCTAAATTATCTTAGAAAGTACATATAACTCGTAAAGTCACATTGGGTCTTAAGCGTCCGGACCACAACGATATTTTGTATAATATAATATCTATGTAATTTTGTTTGTTTGTACATGAGTTTCAACTTGTTATCACGACGATTATATATTGGACAAGGTAGTTTCTTCATCAGTAACTTCGTTAGCAGCTCTTACTAACTTATTACAAACATCCATTGTACATCATCTCTGTACTGAGTTATTCTCGTCCAAAACTTAATAGCAGTCTTCCTCTAACAGTTAGTACTACTTCTCTAAAGATATTACAAATTCATTTTAAACTGCCTCGTTGGCCGAGTGGTCACAAGTGCGATTGCCGGGGTTCGATTCCCGGGGCGAACAAAGTATTACTGGGTTTTAAAAGAAATATCAGTAGTAGCATGGAGTCTGGAATTGTGCCCGATATATGGCAATAGGCTCACCACCTATTACATGGGACTCATAACATAAATAGTGAAAAGTGGGTGTTACTTCTGTGTGCACCTCTGCCTATCCCTTCGGGGACGATAGGCGTGATATTATGTTACGTTTATTTTAAGCTTCTGCCAGTTGCTTCGTCCGCTTTTCTGTGCGATTAAAAGTAGCCTATGTGTTATTTCAGACCATAATCTATCCCTCTCCCAAATTCCATCCCAGTCCGTTTAGTCGTTTTGACATAATTGAGTAAAAAACTCGCTCACAAACATTCGCATTTATAATTTTAGACTAAAAGTAAGATTGTTGCACACTGAGACAACTGACATGCATCCCACTCTACCATTTGCGGGGTGCAAGAACGACACGTGTAGGTGTTGGCTTTGATATTTAATATCCGCTCTTGTCGTTCGTGTGACGTGTGACGCCAACTTGTGGCGACGTCAACTTCACTTTGAACTGGAAAAAGCGCTAGAAATTTTATTACCTACGTATGTTATACATAATATTGGTCTCGTCTAACTCTAACGTAGGAAGTGAATGCAACAATATACATTTCAAACGTTAAAAATTGAAATTTTAACATTTTAACATTTTAGAACGCAATAGACTTTCGTGTTTTTGGTTAGAAATATGAGATCATTTCATGTGTAAGTAACAGTTATTTATTTACTTACTGTGTACTATTAAATCGTTAAAGCCAGCTAATTAGACTACAAATATTATTAGGAACTAAATTGAAAAATATTATTAGGAAATTGTTATTTGCTCGGTCCGATGATGAGGACAATATTTAATAATTTATCTATTGTTTAATTGCATTCTTAATTCTCTTTATTATTACAATTTATCTCTGATTTTGTTCTGGATTATAAATCATTATAAATAATTGTTAATAAATAAATACTAGTCGTTGCATACCATGTTGTCTGCCATTTACATTTTTATATTGTTACGCTGTTGTGTATTGCACCGTGTTTCTGTTTTATGTACCTATTAAATAAATAAATAAATAATACATATTATATGAACTGACTACGACATAACATAAGATTTAAGATATACTCTTGTCACAGACCCAATACTATAACAGAAACAGGTTCAACTTCCTCTTATCAATATTTAATATTAGAAAGATGTGTATCCGACTGTTAAATTATACTGTCAAGTGCATATTTTGGA